TGTAGAGTATGGAGCGTGTCTGAGGAACAGATGACAGTGAGCTTTTTCTTATGAAGCACTGTAATACTTCTCACAACAATGAACAAACATTTTGTATTCAAAGAAGGGGTAGAGGAGACTTTGAGGCTTTCAGTATAATTCTGTAAATACAAAGATTTGAATTCTGTATGAATCTGTTAGCTGTGAAATACACTAACAGGTTTTTAATTATTTTATTAGCTGATGCAATGTCACTTTTTTTATTTTGCGATGTTAATTTTTGTGGTACTGAGTTTCTCGTCATAGTCTGACAGTTGTCAAAATTAAAAGCTCGCTCTTAGGTATTTATTTGTATGCGAAGTTAAGCTGAGTAATGTGGTGTGTCACACTTTTGAAAAGACAGCATGTGCACATCAAATGTATGTATGTCTCTATGGAACCAGCCGCTGTAGATATTGAATATTTTAAAAGAGAAGTATGTTGTAAATAGGACATTCAACGTCAAGGCTGATATTTGCAATTGCATGTTTTTAAGATCGGTCCTTCAAAAATGCACAAAAACATAACATTCCGGAATTTGCTGCATAAACATTATGAAGTAAACTGGGTTTATGAGGCCTAATCTCTTGAGTTGTCTTACTGCTTGCTGTTACTTGTGTAAAATTACACATAAAATGTTCAGTAATACGTTCCGATCAGTGATTGTCATTTTGAATGACAACTTTTGGCTTTTTAAAGTAATGTGATGGTATGTTTAAAATATATGAATATTTGCAAATCATTCATTTCTGTATTTTATTGGTATGGGTTAAAATCACCAAGTGTAATAAACCTCTGTTAATGGAGTGGGATTCAGAGGGGTATTTTACAGTCTTGTAAAAATGGTTTGGATTTGACAGTGTGACTTCAGAACCCCTCAACTTTTGTGCCGTTTCCTAAATTAGCATAAGTTATAGATCTGATCATTTTCAAGGGTTTGAAGAGATGAATCAATACACAAGCTGTGAGTGGGGAAAAAGCCTGGGAGCTCCATCGTGAATTTAGACAAGAAACAGCCACGTAGTCGGCATTGCTCTGATTGATTGCCTGCACTGAAGTGTGTTGTTTATTCACTGCCATTTGGATTTTAGAATTGGAACCTCTTCCTTTATTAATGTGATGTTTTCATCTCCAATATGTTTATTGATTGGCAGGGATGGTTTTGGAGAAAGTTTTTATAGTGCATGCAGAATAGATTGCTTTTGAATTTTTTAATTGTTCCAGAAACTCTTAATATATATATATATTAACCTCTAGTGAATTTGAATTTTGGAGGTTTTATGTTAAGAATTAAAATCTAACCAGATGTAGTTTAAAGAAATGGAAACAAACTGGTTTTATTACAAGCTTGTGCACCGCAGGAATTTAGGTAGGAATCCTTGTTACGACTTGATTATCCTTGATCATTAAGTACAAGTATTGTTTAAAAGTATGCAAAACATGTTCTCGCATTTGATCACAAAGAGCAATGTACTACAGGAAAGAACATGGTATGATATGGTAGCACTAGCTAAAATCATAGCCAAGGACATTTCATGTGTTATTAAGAGTATTGTGCATTCTACTATATTGAGTACATTTTTTGGTAAACACCCGTTTGTTTTTCAGGTTAAAATGAAAATGTGAATGAAAAATGTCTCAAAAAGGAAGCAGGCAAGAAAAAACAAGGTATACACTATATTACCTTAAAAATAGTATAAAGAATGTGGTCACACTTGAAATCTTTTTTATAACTATTTATAAAATGCTATTAAGGTGTTTATTAATAATGTTATAAACGTTTCCTGCAAATGATGACATGTCGAAATTCCTAGGGTAGGATTTCCAGGGATTGAATATGAGACCCCTGGCCAAGGTTTAGGACTGGAGATGTGGTTTGTTATCTTGATTTTACCATAAGGAATCCTTTGCATTTTGTATGCTTTTCAGCTCGCACAGCACCGAGCTTTACACCGAAGTCCCTTCAACGTGCCTGCCTATTGTGTACTCTCCAGACTACAACATTACCTTTATGGGATTTGAGAAGCTTCACCCTTTTGATGCTGGGAAATGGGGGAAGGTTATTCGTTTTTTGAAAGGTACACTGGATGATTAAACAGTGTTAATGTGCAATCAAAGGGACTCTTGTTTGTGAAGGAATTTAGTACATGGATAAAGCTCTCCTGTGATAAATGAAATCAATGTCATTTTTCTAAACAAAAAATGTAATTTTTGAGTTGGATAGAAATAGTTTTGGCACATTCATCGAAGTAGTGAAGCAGTGCACCGAGTCGGAGATAATTAAGAAAGTTAAAAATTCCCTGTTTCACACTCCAGGCATGCTGTGTTTGAACTGAAGGTCAGAATAGCCATAGAAGTCTGGCATGATGTCAGTTATACCTCAGGTGCATGTTGCCCTTTTATCTAACCAATTACCTTCTCTTGCAAATGCTCTTCTGATTCTTGCTAGATCTTGAATGTTTAAATACACAGTGTGTGAAAGGATGTGTTCACGGCGTAGCCTATGCGAACATCTTTAAAGCTCTTATCAATTAAAAAATCATTTTACTAACATAAAAATGATTCGGATGCCATTAATTTTATTCACCGCGAATGCGTCCCGTGTATAATTCAGACCCGAGACATTTTCCGAGAATTGTGTGTATTGCGTTTTCAGTTGAAGCAGTGAACGTTCTGCTCATAATGCACTATGTGTTTATGTGATAGAGGAACAGTTGATCACAGATGGAAACATTGTGGCAGCACGAGAGGCTGCGGAGGAAGATCTTCTGGTTGTCCACACGAGACGTTATCTAAACAAACTCAAGGTAACTTGATTTCTCTTTTCGAACCCCCTCCACTGAAGAAAGACACGTCAATCACACAAAAGTGGGATGTACAGGTTCTCATTGAGCATGTTGAATGGTAATAACTAGTGCAGCCTACTTCTTATTCTTTAGTCCAGACATGTCTTTTTTTTCTGTACTTTAGTTCAAGGCTTGCTGTAGTACTGTCGGCAAAACGTTACATTGGCATCTTCATATGAAAGCAGAAGCAAATGTGCGATAAATAAAAAACAAAGCAGTACTATTGGGTTTTACCTCTTGAAGTCTTTTGAACTTGTGCTGTTTGGGTATTCCATGCAGTTCATAACATCATTTTTCATAGTGCCTTCTAAAGTGAATTAGAAGGTATGTAAAAACTCAAATTCCTTGGCTTGCAAAGCTGAGAACTACAGTAGGCTGATGATGAGCAATTTACATTGACCAGTGATTGTACCAGAGAAACACTGTGAAATAGGTCAATCTATAAATGTAACAGTTAATTTGTAATTTTACCAATTCAAGTACACAACAGCTATAGAAAAATATTTGCCTTTTCACATTTGCAAAATTTCGCTTTGGCATCAGCTGAACTGTAATCTGAATTTTTCCTTCTACGCAAGCTAGATATGAACCCCCTTGACAGACCTAGAAAAAAGGTGTTTTTCCCATAAACCCATACTAGATGCAATTTTGTCTAAAATAGTGGTAAATGTTGTGTCAGTGAATGCATAAATTTACCACCTGGCTGCTGTACTTTGTGTAGAGTTTGACTGATGTAAACCATTTTTCTATTGCATTCAAACATCCAGAGAAAATGTTATGTAGTGTAGGTATATCTGTTGTACTTTTAAACTTATCTCAAATGCTGTTGAGTCTTATTAGAAAGTATATTTCAGTCTATAAAATGATTCCCATAATGTTATGGAACTGAAGCTGTTCTGTATAAAGTTACTGTTTACAGACGTGAGCAATTCAAGACATTTAAAGTGTGTGCATTTCAGACGTGTTTAGGTATGTGGAAGACAGCTTTGTTAAACTTACAGTGCTAGTAAGGCTTGTTTTATAGGCTGCACTGACAGTTCCCTGTTATTTCAATTGTATTGTACCTGCTATCCAACAGCTCTGTGCAGATGCACTAAATGGTTAGCTACTTTAAAGTTTTTCCAGTGTTCCGCCCTCAACTCCCATAAGGTGCCTTGGTTCACCTCCAGATTGAAAAATCTTGTAACAAAATCAATGAGGTCATACCATTTGCAACTGAGAGTTTCTTACCATGTCCCTTGAGCGTGCATTACAAATCCATTTGTACAGTGAGATGAGAGCAAGATCACCTGATCTGTACAGTGACCTGTACTATACTGGGTTTTAAAAGAAATGTTGTTTTTTTTAGAATGGGGTGCAAGGTGAAGGGGGTCCCCAAGTGGATGTAATTAATAAAAATCAATGAGCAATTGTCTTTGTGGGTCATCCCACTTCAGTTCTGAAAGAAACCCCTGGGTCTCAGTTTAGCTCCCAGAGGTTATTAGTCCACATCATATTCCTAATTCAGCATGCTTTTTAAAATATTTATTTGCCTTGGTGGAGAGGTGGAAGGGAGGTGTTTGGAGTGAAAGCGTCCCTGGTGATGGATTGTTCTTTTTCTGGCTAAATGCTCTCTAGCTCTGGCAATAAACATATAGGACAAAGGTATTTAGGACAAAGGTATCTCAAGCGATCCTTCATTTCTTCATTTAAATACGTATATTTTCTCTTTTTTTTTTACTGCATGCAGAACCATATCTTGGAAGGCTCACGAGAGGTATCCCAGAAAATCATTCTATGCTTCTGCTGTGATTGAATATTCATTTAAGAATTGCAACGCTATAATCAGAGCCGATCTGATAACCCTTTCTTGTACACTTAACATTTTGCCTGCAGTAATCGGTACTATTGAATAACTGAGACTAAAAAACTGTTTTTAAACCTTGATGTTTATGAATTTCCCTTGATGTTATCTATATCCCTGTGTTGTGTGTTTTTCTTGTTTTTTTTTGTGCGTTATTGGTGACCACAGTTCTTTTTGTATGTGTAATGGTTTTGTTGAAATATTGAGGTTCTTTAAAAATGCCCAGCCTCGTTCCGTTTACAATTTCTGGATGGCTCAGGAGGTGTGAAGAGATTTGCTGTGTCAGCTACTCATGGCATCAGGACTGCTTCATTACCAGCTTCCTGTTGTGGTATGAATTTTGTTCTTTTTTCCTGTCCTTTCAGTGGTCGATTGTAGTGGCTACGATCACAGAAATTCCGCCTCTCCTGTTTCTGCCGAACTTCCTGGTGCAGAGGAAAGTGCTTCGACCTCTGAGGACTCAGACTGGTGGAACAATCATGGTAAGACAGGAAGTGCCGCATCCTTTGTAGTGCAGTTGTCTCAAATACTCCCCGCGTGAGTGTTTGCAGAACTCGATTTTTTTTCTTTGCCCTGATGCCCTTGGAGATGCCACCTTTCTGTCCTGCTGCCTCAGCATGTGAAGTATAGCATCGCAGCACTGCAGTACTTTCATAGAAAGCTCACTTTGGACAGAGTGCTGCTTGCAGAGGGAAGGGGGGGTGTTGAGGGATGGGTGATTGCACATTGAGCTCCTGTATCAAGAAGTGAGTTACGGTATTGCAGCATTTTACAGTTGAGCTAGATGGAGACTTGTTGGGTGTTAATTGTTTTTTATATGTTATACTGTATATGTGCTTTACATTCCCTATTAGCATCCATTGTAGTATTACTGTATATCAAACACAAAAAGGCTTATGCTTGTTCCTCTTAAGTTGTTGTTGATAAGCATCCCAAGAGATGTTTCCATTTTTGTGGGAACAATTCAAACAATTAGGTAATGGTGACAAAAGTGTTACGATATAACAGGATATTTTAGTAGAAACAGTTTTGGAGATTCTTTTTGTCACACTGACCATGGCACATCTGGGTTTTTACATATATTTCCCTTTGACAACCTCGTTTTGACTTGTTTTTTTTTACATTTAAAACAAATACTTGCTGATAATTCTGGTTTTAGTGCTCATTCTCAAGAAGAAGAAAGACCACCAGCCTTGGAGCTGCATAGAACTGTATAGTGTATTCAAAGGGAAAGCTAAGCCTTATGTTGCACTTTTAAGTGTGGGCTTTGGAATTCAATTCAAAACAGCAGCAAGTCCTATGATGTGTGTTTGTTTTAATATTTTAAGAAATTCCCAGATTTGTACTGAGATAGCTCTGCATTTATTTCTGCTGTGCATTTTGTCACTTTAAGATGGACAGAACAGTAAGGCTATTCTTTAAAGAAACTTGTTCCATTGAGAAGCGTTTTATTTTTAAATGGACATGGGAAAGGAGTGATATTTTAGCAGTGAGCCATCCATTTGTTTAACGTCAAGTCCTGCTCTGCTTTGGTATTACCTGGGGAAATAATAGCTAGCTATAAAATGCCAGTTTCTCTAAAAAATGTTGCTGAACTATACCCTGTGAATCATGGCAATGGCTATTGTCTGGCATTGAGCCAAAGAGGGAATTTATTAAACACTTCTTTACCGTGTATTGAAAAATAAATGGTTTACATTTTAAATTCACTGTGTGTTGGCTATACTGCTGAGTGGCAGCTTGAGGGGATAAAATCTCACATTTTAAGAGTACTGAATTTGTTTACAAATTATTATATCTTTTAAATTCACTGAAGTTAGTATCTCATCCCACATGAGCAGATGTGGCTGTCAGTATTGCCAATCAAAGTTTTACAGTCCTTAAATAAGCAGCAGCCTTGCATTAAACTGTGTCAAGTGCTTCTTTCAGTTCATGTTTATGCATGGCTGAAGAGGAGTCTCTATGCCCCTGGGAGGTGGAACGTACCTTCAGACAGTGCAAATCACAGGTCCATGTGTGAGAGGAATTACTCCATCGATTAATCTCCAAACATCGATCTTTTTTAAAACTCATTCTAGCATCATTTTCACCGATATGCTAAGGGGGAATGTGCTGCTTTGGGTGTTATGCTTGTTTTGTCTGTTTGTCACTCCCCCTTCTCCCAGCTCAAGACGCATTAAAATCTTGATTGCTCTTTTCCTTTCAGTATTGGTTAGTGCCTATTCAGCGAATGCTGAAGGAGAAACTGAAGGCCAGTGCGTCAAGGCAGATTATGTAAAGAGGTTATTAGGAAGTCAATAGTGACCCCAGAGGGATTGGTTAGGCCAGTGAATTGAATACATATGAAGCTATAAAATAGTTGGGAATGGAATTTGCTGAAGGTCTCTTCTCTGTGCTTAAAAGGCCATTTGTCAGAATGACTGCACTGCAAATTCATAATCTGCCTGCCTTAAAAATTACTTAGCATTAGCATACGTACCAGTGCTGTGCAATGAAGAAATCACTAATACTACCTAAAACAATTTCAGCAAGAGAATGTCAGAAGTATTCCTAGCCAGAAGATGTTTATTACATTTATGTATCATCCAGCACCTCTTCATTGAGCATTAAGCTGGGTTTTACAACACAGGCCCTCCACCATAATTACGTCACTGGATGTGAAAATCATTTTGAATGCGTGGTTATGGTAGCAGTTTAGTTTAGCATTAGTTGCAGTAATGACAGCCTAGTTTTTTTTTTTTCTGACCTCCTACTTCGATTACTTTGCACAGGATACAGTTGTTGAGAGAGATGGAAATGACTTAAAGTATGTTTCTTATTTTTTGGGTTTTCAGTGGTTAGATAGAGGAAGCAGACTGCTCACCAAATCATTTTTAGAAGACATATAAAAAGGCCTCTGATTTGTAAAGAATGTTATTGCATTTTTAAGTGTTAATGAATTCTAATTCTGTGGAGAAAAATCCCAGCTACACCTGTTTGCTTGTCATTTATTTAAAGCCCATATTTCTAACTTTGTGTGACATGGTGGTGTGACAATTAGCACCGCTGCCTCACAGCTGTGACCAATAACAGACTACAATGACTGCTCAAAATCAGTGGGAACCCTGACGTACTGTTACTCATGTATTCCAGCAGGGTACGAGAAGAGCATGTCAATATTGACAAAGGCTTGACAGATGAACATTGCTCAAGAGAAACATGTACACTCTGTAACATAAATAGATCCAGTATGCATTACTTGCAAAGTGTATTTGCATATCTTAATAACTCTGTCCTTATACATGGAAATGGCCATATGGATTACACTGGATCCAACAGAAAGTTATACAGTATGTTTTGTCTCTGCTCCTACGAAAGGATGTCAGTGTCTGAAATGTATAAAAGCATTCTAATTTGTGGGCATTTATGTATTCATTCAGTCAAAGTGGACATCATTTGGATACCTCATTCTTGCTGTACCTTATGTGGAAAATTCACTTTAACTATGCTTAAAATATATAATAGGTACAAATTATGATGATGCACCTATTTTTATTTAGGTTTGTATTTAGTAGTGGGAAGTGCTTACAGTAGGAGGCAAATTATAAAATTCATGAGCATGGTAATTAAATGATTTTTTTTTTGCTTTGAGAATTGATCAAATGGTGTTATAAACTTCACAAAAGGAGGAATCAGGACTGACGATAGCCCCTCTTACAGACTAAAATAGTCTAAAGTTATCCGTTGTACCACTGGCCCACTGGCTCCTCACAGAGAATGTCACCTGGGCATTATAAAGAGCAAAGCAATAGTATTAGCAGCACAATTTTATGCTGTTTTATTGATCTGGTGCCAAGAAGGGGAGTTCTGTAGCTCTTCTCTAGTCTAACTAAAATGTATATATATTGGCATGTCAGTATTGTTAAGTTTCCGTTGTTACTACCACTGCTTTTAAACAGGAAGTAAAGGCCTCTCTGTCCCCAGTTCTTACCTGACAAACCAAGCAAGCTAATTCAGATCAGAATGAACTTTTCATTGCCTGGTGGGTGAACAGTTCAGACTCCACTTTAAGAGTTTTGCAACACAATTTGGTGCATTCAGTGTATAAGATATAAAAAATAGTAGAGGACTTTTAAATTTTATTTCAAATGGAATTTGGTGCAAATGTCCCAGAACGCTTTGAAATTGAAAACTTAAGCGCTCCCTAGATGACTGCATGGTATATTTTGGACACAGTTTCAGTTTTTGCTGGATGAAATCTAGGTTTTCAATTACTCTTTTGGAATAATTGTAAATGAGCAAAATGCTTTGAATTTGACAATGGGCCTTTAAAGAATAAACAGGCCATCATGTTAGAGATTATGGTAAATGGGAATTATCTCTCCAAGGATGTACTATAACATAGGATACTAATACTTCCTCAAGAAACAGATGGATTTTTTTCTTCGGAACCCATTACATTTCCTGCTCCTGGAACAAAACTAAAGAGAATGTACTGTATCTAAATCTACAAATGTTGATTTTATATTTGTGTGTCAATGACTAGTTGTTGACCCCAGTACTTAACAAGTAGCATCATCCTTTCTTATTTGTAGCTGCAGTTGCCATACAGATTGCTTTGTGAATTATTGATGGTCTTCCATATACAGTACATTCCCATGTGATTGGATTGTAAAGTATTATAATTTATAGAACTCATTTTGTTCTGTTATTTATAGGCAGGAAAGCTCGCTATTGACAGAGGATGGGCAATAAATGTGGGTGAGTAGAAATACTAGATTCTATATACTTTCCATACATAGAGGCCAGGAAAATTTATTTTTCATTGTAGAGAAAAATATTTTAAAGCATGTGTAACAATCAAATCTTTGTGCCTCAAAGGAACCTAATGTCATCTCCAGAGAAGCAAATGGATATGAAATGGATTTCTGGTTAAATTTACTTCACTATGCTATTAAATGTAATTGATTGGAGCTTATGCCTATTGGAGTATTAAAGTCTGTTTATTTTGCTAAGAAGTCAACCATAATAAAGTGTATGCTACACTCCTCTCCAAAAAACCGAACATAAATCTATGAACTTTGGAATCCCAAGTCAACTCCCAGGTGTAACAGAGTATATTATGTACCGTTTTATGACATTCATAGTTTCAAGTACTGGAAGCTAACAAAAGTGATTGTTTGATGCAGAACCCTCTGTGCTAAAACAATATGGTCTGGTTACTTACTGATGTAAACAAAAAATGTTTCTCGTAACCTGTTAATTAAATTGAGATCACCTACCCACTTCATTGCTAGTCCAGTTCACAAAAGGAAGCTAGTGAAATGGGTTTTCTGTAACTTTGAATGTTCTGCTTTACAAGCCAGTTATCTTTTTTAAAGTACTGTTTTATATTTTAGCAACTAAGTAAGAACAAAAACTGTGGCATGGTCAGTGAAATTAGTATTATCAAGTCAAAGTTTCAGATCTTTCCATAATACTATCTAATGAATGTTTGTTCCTTTTCAAGGTTAAATTGCTTTGTAGACTGTTTACAGCTTATACCTTTGGTCCTCATATGCTTATCCAGAAATTTCTAATGGACCTGGAACATTTTATTATAAAGTTTAAAATGGCTCATTAAATGTATGATTGAAATATTTTTTAAAAGATCATTCTAATCTACTCTATCTTGGGTATGTTTTATGTGACCTGTGCAAAGTGATTTTCTCACATAAGGGGTTATTTAACTAATGTGTCATAAATGTTAAGACAGTCAGGTATGCTAATAGTTTGTATTATAAAACTTGCCTTGGCAGTAAGAGATCCAATAATGAATAATAACATATGTTTACTTGTTAAAATGTAGTTTGTATCTTTTCCACTATTTTCATTTATACATACAGTACATGTTTGGTGAACCATACATGCCATTATAATTTATGATCATGCTTCATTTCATTTATTCTAAGGATAAGTTTGTTTCTGCACTTTAAAAAAAAAAAAATTCTTTCTCTGGCTGTTATTTTCAGGCTCTGGTAATTATTCAAATTTTCAAATACCTTCGGTATATGTGCTGCTTGTGAATTAAATTAATTCATAAATACATCAGTTACTACTTGTTGTTGTACCTTTGAGGTGCTAACTGTTGCATTTTACCATGCAAACTGAATTAGAGACGTATGTAAACAATACAGAATTAATTTACATTTCATTTGAAAATTAATTACTCTGCAGTAATCTAAGGGGGATAAGAATGAACGTTGTGGTGACAGGCCATGTCACTAATACACTAAGGTCATTCTATCTACTTTGTTATTGTCCAATTCATTTTTAATATGCAGTGATACAGCATTTAAATGGCTTTACAAATGGAAGAAATGCCGAACCAGGAAATGGAAATAAACAGCCTTTAGTCAAACATAAATTCACATCTTTAAAGAGAAGAAACGCACCGACAGAATATCTCTGGCTTCACTTAGGATTCAGCATGTAAATGCTAAAAAAAAAAAAGAGAATTTCACTTTGAAAAAAGGAAAAATGGAGTGTGGCAATCATCAAACACTACATGGGAATAATAAGTATTTGTTCTAGAAAAAAGGTCAAATATATCTATACAAATCTTTTTAGCCAAAGGATGGCACCACTACGACATAAAAACGCATTTCTCTGGATGGGGTTCACAGATCATGCATATTAAACGCAAAAGGGAATAAGAGCCAGGCTTCAGATGTGCCATAGGCAAGTCGGGTGTTATTCTTAGCCGAGTCAAGTATGACCTTAATAAACATGCGTGGAGTGCTTAATACTTTGGAAAACCTCTAAATATGTGCTTCTTAAAACCTAAAAAAGATTTGATCTTCTGTGAAATGTCAGATACTGTAGATGGATCAAATCCCAGAGAAGCATTGCATGACACTGAGCACCTGTGGCAGGTAGCAGCAGTTACTGTATCTAAAAGACACACACTGGTGTGAAAACGTACAGTAAGAGTGAGTATTAGAAAATGGAAGAGTTTTAAAACATCTCACCCAAATGATTTAAACTGGAAATTCGTTCCAGTAACTGATCTACTTGATAATTTGTATACATTTCTAAAATGTTTTAAACATTCCCAATACCCACCCCCCCAAAAAAACAAACAAACAAAATCATTATTTAAAATAAATCCCTCTACTGAATGTTTTCATCATCTGTTCCTAAATCAGTTTTGTCCGGTTTATAACTGTCAGTTTGGAAGGGCTTGGCATAGAAAATAAATAGTAGTATAATAATTGCTTACACTTATATAGCGCTTTTCTGGACACTCCACTCAAATCGCTTTACAGGTAATGGGGATCCCCTCCACCACCAGTGTGCAGCCCCACCTGGATGATGTGACGGCAGCCATAGTGCGCCAGAACGCTCCCCACACACCAGCTATCAGTGGGGAGGAGAGCAGAGTGATGAAGCCAATTCATAGATGGGGATTATTAGGAGTAAGGGC